ATAATCTTTTTTTGTGTTTAAACAGACTTTCCTATATTTCAGTTTGTGCCTTTTGCCTCCTGCCCTCTCCCTGACACTGCTGAGAGGGCAAGAGACAAAAGGCACAGACTGGAATACAGGAAAGTCTGTGAAAACATAAGAAAGTTTTGTTTCAGAATGATCAAGCACTAGAACAGGCTGCCCAGAGAACGTGTGGGGATATCCCTCAAACTGTTCAAAACCAAACAGGGCATGGCCTCAGACAGTGGTTCTGAGCAAAGGGTTGTTGGAAACCTCAGGAGGTTCCTTCCAGCCTCACTGATGGTGGACAAGGCCATCACTGTGTGCACTAACTCAAAAAGAACCCACAGCATCAGCCTCCTTAGCAAATGCAGCTGCAGCTACCACAGGCAAACAGCTCCCACCACCTTTGCTTTGTGGCTCTCTTCACACAGGTCTTTCCTGCCCCTGAACACCTGCAGTGACCCTCCTGTCCCTCTTTCACACCGTGACCCCAAGAGCCACTGCAGCATTTCGTGTCACCGTGCTTCCCTGCCCCTCCTCCACAGCAAAATGCCAGATGCTACCCAGGGCTCTTATCAGCCTGCTTCACAGGCATGTGTCGTGGCTCCTGCCTTGCTGCTCCTCCCGTGACAGGCACACCCAGGACTCTGGATGCCTGCTTGCCTCCTGAGGGCTGTGATCAGCACGCACATCTCTGTGGTTATGGGATGGCTGCAAGCTCAGAAGCCTTGTGGTGGAGTTTTATCTTCAGGATGCTGTGCCTGGTGCTCTCCCCTGCACAGCCTCGTTTGACAGCTGTGCTGCAGCGCTTCCTTTGCCTGCTGCCACCCCGTGCCTCCCGAGCCAGGGACATGCCAGCACCCTGCCATCCTTTGCTGTGAGAGCCCGAGCTCCAGCCAGCTGCTGCTTTTCTCTCAAGCTCCCACAGCCAGGAGAGCACTCATCCTGCTGACTGAGGAGCACCAGCGCATCACTGCAACAAAGAATGCAACAGCCGGCCAGGGACCAAGGCTGAGTGTGCAGTGAAGCAGTCCCCACTTGCAGCTGATTACTGACACCAATTAAAAGCCCATTACTGAGCCCTTTGGGGTTTATGGCTCTGCCTGCCCCCTCCACTTCTGTCAATGCAGAGTTTACCAGTGAAGCTCTTTGCCCCCCACGTGGGATGTACCGAGGCCTCGGTTTGTGTGCCAGCTGGAGCTCTCTGATGGTTTGGCTGTACCTGTGCTCAAACAGGTGCAGGCCAGAGCCCTCATGCTGTCCCCATCACGAGTGCAGCATTTGGGGAGGGTTGGGAAGGCTTTCCTACACTACTTGCCAAGCTGCTCCGTGTGCTCACCTCCCTGCCCAGAGCTGTGCAAGCACAACTCAACACTCAGGTGTACCTTGAGCTGCATGGGGCGATCCAGACCAGGTACTGCACCTTCCTGACTTTACCTAGCTTAGACTTTGGTGCAGCATTTCAAATCCCCACTTGCTGAACATCTCTGCCAGCCATCAAACACACCCTTTCAGAAACCGCAGAGCGGCCAGCTCGCTGAAGTAAAGTAGTGCCACCATTGCTTTGGCCAGAAGGCTGGCATTCAAAACCTGACTGATGTGAAATCTGCTCTTACGCAGGAGGAGGAGGTGCTATGGAAACACTCAAGTATCAGGGAGCTGCTGGTGTCAGGCACCTGCCCTGCACAGGCAGCCCGTGCCCGTCCTCCAGCCCCGCTCGCCCTGCCCGGGCTGCACAGAGCCCGCGTGCCCTGCCTCGGTGGCACCTGCTGCTGGCTCTGGCACATTAAATCTGCAGGTAACATCACTTCGCTTCCTTCTCTCTTGCTGGCTCTGGACTGCTGAGCAGGGTCCTGCTGTGCCTGGGGGGAGGCAGAGGAGGCTTTGAGCGTGGTTTCTGCAGGGCAGCGAGGTCCCTGCGAGGCAGGAGTAGGGTAGGTCGTGATCTCTGAGTTTCTGTTCAGTTTCTGTTCTTACTCCAAGGTATTCCCGGGGTACTTTACCTGGAATATCACAGCAACGGAGAACTGGAAGTCAATTCATCCCAACATGGGAAACAAGTGATTCTAACAAATTTGTTTTGTCTAAGAGGACCCCTTGAGCATCTATCAAAGCAGATAGATCATGGCTGGGGTGACCATATTACAGTTTTCCAGGGATGCAGTGATAGATGAGCCTGAAAGAACACAAGCTGCAAAAAGGAAAAGAAAAAATTGCTGTTCTTGAGATCCTTGCACTTGAGAGAGGTGTGAACAGCAGCAGGAGGGTTGGAGCAGGCAGTCTGCAGATTTCTTTATGCTATTTGGAAACAGAGAGGAAAAGCTCCTCACCGAATATGTGCTAAGAGCCACCCCTTCCATTTAAAAGAATTTATTGTCATTTATTGGTGACAGGGCTGTTGCCATGGAGGTGGCAGGTCTGAGGGCAGCTGATGCAGATGATGCTGTGCTGTACCCAACTTCAACCCCATTTTCCTTCTTGCTCTCCCTCTGCTCAGTTCCAGGTTCCCTCCCTCGCCCACCAGGGCTCCCATGCTGTCCTTAGCCATTTCACCCACCATATTTACCCTTTATTTCACCCACCATATTCACCCTTTATTTCACCCACCATATTCACCCTTCAGCCCTTGGTGCCTGACCACTTTTGAGCTCTCCCCAGAAGGAAGGAGGAGGATTTTCCATGCAAGACTCCCCCTTCAGTGCGTCTGCTTTCCTGCTGGAAAAACACTGGCTGCCATCCACTGTGCCTTCAGCCTCTCATCCTTGCATCTCTTCCTCCAGCCTCTCTCTTCAAGGTCTGGCAGAAGCCTCCTGCTTCTTGAGCTGCTGGAGGAAACAAGCTCAGCCCAGGCCTTCCTCCCCAGATGCTCAGCAGCTTCTGTGCTGGGGGACAGCTGCTGGCCAGCTCTCCCCAGCCTATGGTGGGGATAGCAGGACACCCTGCACAGTACTGGTGACCTTGTCTGTGGAGCCCCAGCCTTTCCTGGTCTCCCAGCAGCAGCAAGATGCTGTTTCACAGCTGTCTCCATCCCTTTGTCACGGCTGTAAGTTGCAGCCTAGCCCCTCTGATGCTGCAGGCATTTCATCTACCCCACCAGATACATTTCCAGCAGCCACAGGATATTCTAGCTGGTCAAGCTGCATTTCTTTAAAGAGTTTTTTCCTCAGTCATACCTTATCAATGCTTTTGTGTCTGCTTTAAACCCTCTGGTCATTTCCTCCATCCTCCTCCCAGCCTCTGGACTGGCCTGGGGCACTTGTGAGCCCTGCTGCTGGGAGCTGCACTGGGCCAGGTCTCCATCTCCAAGGGCAGTGATGGCCAGAGCCCTCTGATGCTGCAGAGCCCAGCAGTGTGGTTTGCCTGTGCTGCTCCTCTGCAGAGGCTGCAGCTGGCACTGCAGACCAGGGCAGTGACAAGAAACCTGGGCACCAGTGCAGCTGTCAGACTTCTGCCTCGTGCCATAAGCAGAGACCATAACCAGTGACAGCTCCCTGCTGCTGTTTCCATAGCTCAGAGAGGTTTTCCTCAGGGGACAAGTGTCCCCTTCCTCACAGGGTACAGGCAGTGAACAGCAAGCCTCTGTTGGGGAAACCCAGACCTGAGCATACAAGAACAAGTCACACTAGTGTCTGCTATTGCCTAAGACACTTGCACATCTGCCAGAAGCTGAGTTATTTGTGTATTTTTCAGTCACTTCAGAACTGAATTCTGATTTACAGGCAGTGCTCTCACCAACTGGCCACAAGGTCTGCATTGCTGGTGGAGGCAAATAACTGCTACACCAGGCAGACCTGGTGTCTCTTCCCTACGGGATTTCACCAGATCCCTCCCCACTTCACTCCCCTGTTAGAGTGCTAAAACACTTATTTTACACTTATTGAAAGCTTGTTTGTTTTTTTTTCCTGAAGTGCATTTAGATGCAAGCAGAAGTGACAGATACTCAGAATCAGCAGTTTGAAGAATTGTTTCACGTGCATGTCACACAAAGCCACTTTGCACAGGATGGGCTCTGCTGAAAGATGATTTTTATCAGCCCATAAACTCACTCTTCACACAACTAATACTCTTGCAAAACATCTTGTAGCCAGTGTGACAGAGGCCCAACAGCTACTGCTCTAACATGGATTTCTGAGGGTGGCTGGGTGCCTGCCTGGGGCAGGAGCCATCTCATTCAGCCCTTAACAGCAAGCTCCTTGTTCTGCAGTGGTGTTCCCTCTTCCAGAAGTGGCTTTCTGCTTTGCATCTGCAGACTCATACCCCCTCCTGGAACAAATGGGCTTAAAATTAGGTTAATCCTTCCATCCTCCGTTCCTCTCCTGGAGAGGTGGAGAGCAGCATACCTCACTCTCTCCCTTAGGGTTTTGAGCATGCCTTTGGGAGAGCAGGACTGCAGATTCAGCTGTTTTCCTCAGCTTGGAGAAGGAGCTCTGGGTTCACAAGGCTCAGAAACCTTCCCAGTTAGAGCCAGAGCATGAGGATTTCTATCAAGTGACATCTGCTACACACTCCCAGCCATTCACTCCCGATCTGAATCCAAAACCAGCAGGACTGACAGAAGAGCTTTTGCTCATGGGTTGTGCTGGGCTTTAGTTTTGGTTTCTGCAATCCCTGCCTAGCTCAACACCAAGGTAAGGGTAATTTTACATCATCTGCACAGACTGTCTTAAGGAATTAGTGTTCACCTTGTCACAGGTTGTGCCCACTACCTATGGGGGCTCTTCTTAGTGCTTTGTTGCCTCCTGCCCTCACACACTTCAAGATCTCCCTATTTAATAAAGGCTGTCTGCCATGTCCTATTGGAGATGTACACTGAGACACACTCATAAACTGAGTGAACTTAAAGTTGACAAAGGATGCCAAAGGATGCCACAGGCTGATTGAGAAAGACAGCTCTGTAAAGCTCAAATTCACATTATTAACAAAGGACATATATACTAACATGTGCTTCTTTTACAGCTGCAAAGAGGTCTTACCATGTCCTTTCCAATTTCAGGTCTCAGAACATCATACAACATCTGTAGCTCAGGACAATGAATGTGTCCAACAACTGCAGCACCACAAATCTAGAACTGCATCGCCACATTCGCCTCATTGAGTTTGCTCTCTATAGCCTCATTTTCTTTTTTGGAGCACTATTTAATGTCCTTGCCTTCTGGGTATTCTCTTGCAAGATGAAGAAGTGGACAGAAACCAGGGTGTATGTAATGAATTTAGTCTTTGCAGATTTCTCTGTCATCTGCACCTTGCCTTCCATGGTTTATCTGCTCTGGAAGAAGTCAGCCCGAGGGGAGCTCTGCCAGTTTACAGAGATAATGTATTTTATCAACATGTTAGTGAGCATCTACATCATTTCATTCATCTCCATCGATCGATACATTGCCATAAAGCACCCTTTGAAAGCCAGGACCTTCAGGTCCCCGTCAAAGGCTGCCCTCCTCTGTGGTCTTCTGTGGGTTTTGGTGATAATCGGTGCCACCATCCAGCTCTGGCAGAAACACGAAGCTCTCTGCTTCCAGACCTACGCCCCCACACCTGCTGCTCTCAGCCTGCTGGCCATTTTCTTCGTTTTCACTCTCCCATTAGCAATCTTGACCTTCTGCTCCACAGAAGTCATCAGGAACCTGAAGAAACATCTGAACATGAACTCACCGGAGGAGAAATCAATCCAGAAAGCTGTACACATCGTTTATGCAAATCTGATTGTATTTCTGATATGTTTTCTGCCAGCCTACCTTGGGCTATTCGCCAGGTTCATCATGGAGAATGTTGGAGCTACCTGTTTCCAGCTCTGTGTCATGGAGAACTTCTCCTCCATGATGAGGTGCATCGCCACATCCAACTGCTGCCTCGATAGTGTCTGCTACTACTTTGTCACCAGGGAGTTCCATGAAGCCTTTCTACAGCCCAAAGCCAGCACTCAGAAAACAGATGCAACCCACCCCTTGCAGATACAGCCTTGCTAAAGGGAAAAGGGAAACAAAACCCACCCCCGACATCTGCAACATAAAGAGGAAATACAGCTTCAGGGCTACTGGGATAAGTATTGCTCTTTTGCTCTAGCAAGTTCTTTATTAGGTTTAGAAATGGATAATCTATGTTTCTATTAAACAAATAGGTCACAGAGATGTGTAAAAGCGTGTATGTAACCACTTGTTGTTAATGTGCCTCCATTCCACCCTCCAGCACCTACTTGTTACTCATACAGGAAGACAGGTGACCTCTTTCAGTTCCTTCTGCAGCTAAAGTCCTTCTTGCCAACATGTACAAATGTATATATTGCATTTTACCACATTGTGTATTTCAGGTTGTTTGCATTATTAAACTAATCCACTTTATGTTTATCCCGTTCCTTTGGCAGGCTGGGGTGGGTGGCTGTTCAGGTGGTTCTGGCACATTATTAAGTACATTTCTCTACAAAACATGTCCCTAAGCTGGTCTGACCTCCTTCCCCTTCAACTCAACAGGTCAGACAGGTGTGAAGGAACACTTTTGGGATGAAAGCAACACTTGTCCAATGCCATAAAGGCACAAAGCTCTATCAGAGCTGAGTCCTCCTGCCAGCTCCCTTCCAGCTGCCCTGCTGAGCCCTGGCCCAGAGACACCTCCTCAGAACATCCATCCCTGCAGGGCAATTCCTCCCACACACAGGAAAGCCATGTCACTGCTGCCTCGGTGTTTGCTGCCCTCGAATTGCTCTGCCCTGGTTTGTTTTGTGGCACCAGACCGACCCCCAGGCTCGCAGCTGAGGCTCACAGTGTCACCCCAGCTGAGCCCAGCTGCCCACAGCCTGCCCACACTGACACCCCAAACATTTCCATCAGGAAAGGGTATTTTTCCATGAGTCAGCACTCTAGAAAAGTCAGGGGAGAGAGGAAGTGGATAAATGCTGCCTAGAACTGTTTTTTTTCTTGGTGTGGGGGAGTCTTTCCTGCCCACAAACACATCTTCCCCTGTGATCTACATCTGCCCTCCGTGAGCCCACAGCCAACGCCTGCTCTGCTGCTGTCACTTGGAGAACGTGAGCTCCTGCCTTGGCTTTGCACAGCCTGCTTTTTGGTAGCGGGGGGGCCACAGAGGTGGCTTCTGCCAGAAGCTGCCAGAAGCTTCCATCATGTCCAGCAGATCCAATCCCTGATGGCTCTAAGGATGGATTTGCTGCTGGCCAAGGCTTGGCCAATTAGAAAGGTTGGTAACATCTCTGTGATAACAGATTTAAGAAGAAAATCAGAACAAAAAATTCAAAACAGCTTTTTCTAGCCAGAGAAGAGGAGGAAGTGAGAACATGTGAGGGAAACAACGTGGAGACACCAAGGTCAGTGGAGAAGGAGGGGGAGGAGGTGCTCCAGATGCCAGACCTGAGATTCCTCTGCAGGCTGTGGGGAGGCAGCCATCCCCTTACAGCCCCTGGGGATCCATGGGGGATGGAGAGATCTATCCACAGCCCCTGGGGATCCATGGGGGATGCAGAGATCCATCCACAGCCCCTGGGGATCCATGGGGGATGCAGAGATCCATCCACAGCCCCTGGGGATCCACAGGGATCCAGAGATCCATCCACAGCCCCTGGGGATCCATGGGGGATGCAGAGATGTCCCCACAGCCCCTGGGGATCCATGGGGGATGCAGAGATGTCCCCACAGCCCGGGGAGGAGCCCCCAGTGGAGCAGGACAATCCTGGAGGAGCTGGGAGCCCATGGGAGGCCTGTGCTGAGGGGTCCCTGCTCCCAGGCTGGAGCAGCCTGGCCTGGCAGGACTGAGCCGTGGCAGAGTGACCCCAGAGCAGCAGGGCTGGCAGCACTCTCTGCCCCAGGAGGGACTCATGTTGCAGGAATTTTGGGAGAACTGTTGCTTGTGAGGTTGAACCCACTCTGGAGAAGTGCACAGAGAGCTGTCTCCTGTGAGAGGGACCCCAGGGTCTCACAGGGGAAGGACTCCTCTCCCTGAGCAGCAGAAGAAAATCTCAGTGATGGAGTGACCACAACTCCCATGCTCTGTCTCCCTGTGATGTCAGTGGGAAGGAGGGAGGGGTTGGGAGAAGAAAAGGTGTTTCAAGGGCCTATTTTACTTCTTATTATCCTCCTATGATTTTGTTAGTAATAAACTCACTTTGTAGCTCTAAGATGAGCCCATTTTGCCCTTGGAGTGCTTTTTCCCCAGTCCTTATTTCAACTCAGGAGCACTTTGACAAAATTTTCTTCTCCTCTGCCCAGCTGTGGCAGGGGAGGGCGAGTGAGCAGCTCTTGTGGATGCCTGGCATGTGGCCAGTGTCAAAGCGTGGCAGCTCCAAAGACAAGAATTAATGGGACAAATCCTGAGGGAGTCGGTCTGGCTCCTGTCAGCTGGCTCACACAGATGGGATTGCAACTGCTGTAACCAGTGGGCAGCAAAACCCATCCCAGTGTCTGTGAAATACCACTGGGGCACGCTCCTGTTACAGATACAGATTATATTGTTGGCTTTTTGCAAATATTAAAATGAATGTTATGTGCATAAGATTGGAATTTTTTGTTGTATTAATATAGTTTTCATTATTTCTGTCATTGATGAAACTTAGAAATAGTGCTATAATCATATATGTTAGGCTATGGCATAGTATTAAAATAAAAACTGCTTTTGTTTGTATAACCCAAAGACTGAGAAAAAAAAAAAAAATAGCTAGAGACCCCCTGCATTCATGAACAATCTTATCCAGATGAAGACAGCAATGACCAGAACTCTGGGGAGGAATTTATTGCATTTCTGTTACCAGGGAAGGGGCAAGAGAAAACTAAACAGAAAAACACCAAAGATCCTAAGAAGAATGTCTGAATATGTATGAGAATTTATGGATATGTAGCAGGGTTCTGTTTTTAAGGGACAATCCTTTGTCAGTGAGGTGAATGCAGAGACACCCGGCCCTATCTGTATACTTTATTTTTATCTCCTAATTGTCTTTTTTATTAAACTTCTAAATTCTATAAAAATTATGTGAACCTCGTTTTTCACACTGCTAACCATGTTCCTACAGGTGCCAGCGCCTCAGTGCCACACTGGCGGCAGTGACTGTCCTGACATCGGTCACCCTGCAGTGCCAGCAGCACCCCGGCTCCCTGGGCTCACCTCACCGAGAGCACAAGCCCCGATTGTCCCCGGGAAAGGTTCCCTGTCCCCGGGAAAGGTTCCCTGTCCCCGGGGGCCCGGAGCAGCCTCTGCCGCCGCACCAGAGCGGCACAGCCGGCGCGCTCCCTGAGGAACCTCCTGCTGCCAGAAGGGCAATTTGCAGCCATTATGGGCTTTACTTCAGAAGTTGCTTTCCCGGGACTGAAAATATGAAATTTTAATTGCCGGGTTGTGTGAGGCGAGGAGGGGGAGCGCACTCTGGGTGGAAAAGCTCTGACGGTGGAGCTTTGAGCTGCCGGCACTGGGACAACAGAGGGCACCAGAGCCTCCAGCTCAAGAAGATCAGGGGATAAATGAGGCACCGGTGGAGAGCTCGAGTTTATTGTGCTTCAGCTGTGACAGCCCTGGGACAGCCCTGGGACAGCCGTGCCCTGCACTGACACCCGTGGATCTCTTTCCGTGCCAAGCCACCGCGTGTTCCCCGCAGCGTCTGTGAGGAGCCCGCGGGCCGTGGGCCCCTCAGGGAGCAGGTAAAGGCCTGGCGCTGGCCCGCGGTGGCACTGTGCTCCGCCCGGCCCTCGGGGTGCGCGCTCGCAGCTGCTGCTCGCCAGCACACGGTCACTCAGCGCCGGCTGCCCTGGCTTCCCCCGCTTTCACAGCTCTTCTGCCTCTGTTTGCAGCTACATTTCCTTCAGGGGGGTCTTTGCCCCTCGCTGCAGTTTGCCATGAGCGCTCCCCTCACGTGTGGGGACGCCGGGCGCCAGGCACGCGGCCTTGGCAGCTGCCACAGCTCCGTGCTCGCATGGGGG